AGAGAGAGAGAGAGAGAGAGAGAGAGAGAGAGAGAGAGAGAGAGAGAGAGAGAGAGAGAGAAAGGGAGAAAGAGAGAGAGAGAGAGAGAGAGAAAGGGAGAAAGAGAGAGAGAGAAGAGAAAGAGGAGAGAGAGAGAGAGAAAGATAAGAGGGAGAGAGAGAGAGAAAGAAAGAGGGAGAGAGAGAGAGAAAGAGGAGAGAGGGAGAGAGAGAAAGAAGGAGAGAGGGAGAGAGAGAGAGAGAGAGAGAGAGAGAGAGAGAGAGAGAGAGAGAGAGAGAGAGGAGAGAGAGAGAGAGAGAGAGAGAGAGAGGGAGAGAGGGAGAGAGGAGAGGGGAGAGGGAGAGAAGAGGGAGAGGAAGATGAGGGTAGGAGGGAATGGAGAGGAGAGAGAGGAGAGGGAAGGAAGAGGAGAGGAGAGGGAGAGGAAGAGGGAGAGGAGGGGGAGGTGAGGAGGGGAAGGGAGGGAGGTAGAGGAGGGAGGAAGGATAAGAGAGGGGGGGAAGGAGAGAGAGAGGGGGGGAAGGAGAGATTAGAAGGGGGGGAAGGAGAGAGAGAGAGGGGGGAAGAGAACGAGTGAAGATGGAGAAAAGAGAAAGAGAAAGGAGAGGACGAGAAAGAGGAGAGGACGAAAAGAGAAAGAGGAAGAGGACGAGAAAGAGAAAGAGGAAGAGGAACGAAAAGAGCAAGAGGAAGAGGACAGATAGAGAAAGAGGAAGAGACGTAAAGAGAAAGAGGAAGAGGACTAGAAAGAGAAAGAGGACGAAAAGAGGAGAGGACGAGAAAGAGATAGAGGAAAGAGGACGAGAAAGAGAAAGAGGAAGAGGACTAGAAAGAAAAGAGGAAAAGACTAGAAAGAGGGAGAGACGAGAAGAGGAGAGGGACGAGATAAGGAAGGACGAGAAAGAGGAGAGGGCGAGAAAGAAGAAAGGACGAAAAGAGAAAGAGAAGAGGACGAGAAAGAGAAAAGTAGGAAGAGGACGAGAAAGAGAAAGAGGAAGAGGACGAGAAAGAGAAGAGAAGAGGATAGAAAGAGAAAGAGGAAGAGGACAGATAGAGGGAGAGGACGAGAAAGAGGAGAGGAAACGAGAAAGAGGGAGAGGGCAGAAGAGGAAGAGGACGAAAAAGCAGAAAGAAAAACAGAAAGGAAAGAGACGAGAAAGGAAGAGGACGAAAGAGGGAGTGGGAGTAATAAGGGGGAAAACGTGAAAGAGGGTGAGAAGAAAAGAGAAAGAGGAAGAGGAGAGAAAGAGATGAGAAGAGACAAAAAGAGAGGACGAGAAAGAGGGAAACGAGAAAGAGGAGAGGACGAGAAAAGAGGGTGAAACGAGAAAGAGAGTGAAAAAAAAGTAAAGAGTAAAAATGAAATAAAGAAGTGATAGTAAGGTGAAGAAGGAAGAGAGAGAAGAGAGAGAGAGGAAGAGAAGTGAGAGAGAAGTGATGATAAGAGAGAGAAGAGAGAGTGTAGAGTGAAAAGTGTTAGAGAGAAAGAAGTGTGTGAGAGAAAGGAAAAGAAGAGAGTGTTAGAAAGGAGGAGAGAGAGAGAAAAGTAAAGGTAGAGGAGAGAGATAGATAAGGAGAAGAGAGAGAAAGAGGAGAGAGGAGAGAGAGAAAGAGGGAGAGAGGATGAGGTGAGTGAAGTAGAGAGAGAAAGAGAGAGAAGAGAGAGTGAGTGAGAGAGAAGAGAGTGAAGAGAGAGAGAGAGAGGAGAGAGGAGTGGGAGAGGAGAGGGAGTGGTAGAATAGTGGAGTAGAGATGTAGAGAGTTTGTGTTATTAAAGTGAGAGTGTGTTAGAGTGAGATTGATGAAGAGATGTAGAGATAAGAGAGGAAGAGAAGAAAGAAGAAAGAGAGGAGAGAGAGATGTTGAGAGATTTTTTGGTGTAATGTTGAGAAGAGAAATCGATGTTAGAAGTAAGAGAGAGAAGAGAGAAAGAGAGGAGAGAGAGAGAGAGAGAGAGAAAGAGAGGGAGAGAGAGAAGATAGAGGAAAGAAAGAGGGAGAGTTAAAGAGAGAGCGAGAAGGAACGAGAGAGAGAAAGAACAGAGAGAGAGAGAGAACGAGAGAGAGAGAGAGAGAGAGAGAGAGAGAGAGAGAGAGAGAGAGAGAGAGAGAGGAGAGAGAGAGAGAGAGAGAGAGAGGAGAGGGAGGGAGAGAGAGAGAGAGAGGGAGGGGGAGAGAGAGAGAGAGGAGGGGGAGAGAGAAAGAGAGAGGAGGGGGAGAGAGAAGAGAGGGAGGGGGAGAGAGAAAGAGAGGGAGGGGGAGAGAGAAAGAGAGGAGGGAGAGAGAGAAATAGTGGGAGGGAGAGAGAGAAAGAGAGGGAGGGAGAGAGAGAAAGAGAGGGAGGGAAGAGAGAGAAAGAGAGGGAGGGAGAGAGAGAGAGAGAGAGAGGGAGAGAGAGAAAGAGAGGGAGGGAGAGAGAGAAAGAGAGGGAGGGAGAGAGAGAAAGAGAGGGAGGGAGAGAGAGAAAGAGAGGGAGGGAGAGAGAGAAAGAGAGGGAGGGAGAGAGAGAAAGAGAGGGAGGGAGAGAGAGAAAGAGGGAGGAAGAGAGAGAAAGAGAGGGAAAGAGAGAAAGAGAGAGAAAGAGAGGGAGGGAGGGGAGGGGAGAGAAAGAGGGAGGGAGGGAGGGAGGGAGAGAAAGAGAGGGAGAGAGGGAGGGAGGGAGGGAGAGAAAGAGAGGGAGAGAGGGAGAGAGGGGGAGAGGGGGGAGAGAGAGGGGAGAGAGAGAGGGGGGGGGAGAGGGGGGGGGAGAGAGAGAGAGAGAGAGAGAGGAGAGGAGAGAGAGAGAGAGAGAGGAGAGAAGAGAGAGAGAGAGAGAGAGGAGAGAGAGAGAGAGAGAGAGATGAAGAGTGAGCGGGAGGGGGTAGGGAAGAGAGGGTCGGGGGTTTTGCACAGAGGTTGGGGACAGGCCAGGGAGCCTCTTGGCCGGCTTCCCCGGGCGCGAGGAGTGCCGGTGGCCGTGGCACTGCACGTGCGTCACGCGCGATCAATACGTGCCGCGCCCACCACACCTCTGACCATGCACGACCCGAGCTATGAACTCACTACATCAATTGCACAACACGCTATTAATAAAATCATTCTAACAACCGGATTCGTACCAAATAAAAGTGTCCGAATTATAGCGATTTCGACATAGTTAAAAATAAATATTTTAAGCGTTTTAAACCCAGACATGCATGGATTAACATCCTCCTCCTCACATCAATTTCCACACAGCTTAGCCTCTGAAACCCAATTCTTGTGCCGCGGGCAATCGCAGCCAGACCGTGCGAGGCCTTCGCCCGCTCTTCCTGTCTCCGCCGAGGACGCACCAAGGAATGGAATCGTCCGAGAGGGAGCCTCCGCACAAAATCAACCTCCACCCTCCAGGGCGCAAGGGGCGCCCATCACAGCTGCTGCGACAATGAACTGCGACGACGGCGACCTGCTCGAGCCCCACTTACGCCGGGGCGAAGGGAACCGGCCCGCTTGGTCCATTTCCGGCAATTAAGGGCCCTGAGATCAAAGCAAAACACGAACACCTGAATCCTTTCTCAAAATATGGGATGAGCTTAGGTTGTCGATTGATAATTTTAACCTTACTTCAACTTTCAGCCCTAAAGAGAAAATGAGCACGCATTTAAAATATGCATTTAAAATATATATCGGAGAGAATCGTATAAAAATGATGCACAATATTTTGGCTTTGTTCTACATGAAAATGGGTTGTATGTCTTGAGGCGTTTCAAGCAAAATGGTGAAAAATAAAGTACGTAAAGAGGCCGAGAATAAAAAAAAAATATATGGTCTGGGAGACTGCGAGCTTGGGAGACTGCGAGCTAGGGATGCCAGAGAGTGCTAGTAGCACTGTGGTCTAGCACCAGTAGTAAGCACGTGTACACGGGACTTGATCGATACATGCCACGTTACTACATGCACACACACCTCGCGCCCCACCCGCGCACAAACACAGACTCACACAGCCCGTCTGCAACCCTCTGCCGCTCCTCTATCCAATGGTCATCTGGCAGGAAAAAGCGCACCTCGTCTTTGTTTTGTGCTTGGAAAATTTATAGACAATCAATCTCGTAGTTTACTTACGGTACCCAATAAACACTCCTTTCTTGAAAGGTAGCTCCGACCTAGAGCTCTCTTTCTCTTTTTCTCTCTTTCTCATATTCATTTTAGAAAATACATGAAAAAATGAATCTCAGAGTCGGTAGCATTTCGAGCCGGGGCTCCTTTGCAATGAATTAAGTGTCTCGCGTGATTCGACTCGCCCTTGCTGGCGGGTCTTTCTACCTCTCCGGCAGCGGCCCGCAGGGACGCCGACTCTTTGCTGGACACAATGTCTGTGCCACAACTAGCCGACGCTTTCCGTCGTTGTCTTGTTCAATAAACCGTTATTTCCCGCGCCAATGGCACTATGCGCGAGCAACAGAACACTCGACAGGCCTTTTATCTCATGTATTTATTTAGGCCATTGCAGGAATTCACTGCTCATTGTCTATATCTATTCAGTCTCAACAATAATTACCAACAAAAATTACAGTGAACGGGAATGGAGATCAGGCGTCTGGCTGCAGCAGGTGTCTCCTTGTGCTGCATGTCTACGTTTTTTAATAATTACAAAAGGGAGGAAGACAAACGGCCACAAAATTTGCTTTTAAAAAAGTTAGTATTTCGGCTTTCCAAAATAACATCTTATGGGAGGCTATATTACAAAATCATAACGATTTATATAATAGAAAAAAACGTACATTTTAGAAATTTGCGTTTACAACCAACTTTTAAAACGGATGTTAATCTCTTTTCGATAATACTTCACACTGTTAACTATGCACGAATCCTGGCGAGGGCCAGATACTTCGAGGACGCAGTCCGCATGCGGTGTAGAGGGAGAGCGAGTTACGGCCAAGCAACACATGGGGAATAACAGCCAGTGCAAGGGAATCGGACGATTTGGGAGAGACATTGACAGAGTTTTGTAGGATCTTTCACAAAACTTACGACTCACCTACCAGCGGCGTAGGCGGCAGAGCCACAGGCGAACAGCAGGAAGCTCTGAGTCTCTTCTTCCAGTCGAGCACTCATTTTGTGAAATGATGCACTATCCACGGCCGCTGGGTAGTCGTGGAAGCAGCACAAACCTAGCGAAGCACTGGTCCTCTGAACAGCAGCGGCAGCACTACTTTCCTTCAAGTGGTTTGGCATAGAAGCCTTGTAAATTTCAGGAAAATTAAGCTTCAGAAAAACAGCATGAAATATAAGAATTAAGCACGAAATCTAGCAGAGTGCAGACCGTGTCGAACCGTGGCACTGAATGACACCCGTCAGGTCTGGTGGCACTATGTGGGGGAGGGAGGGAGAGGGAGAGAGAGGGGGAGGCGAGGCGAGCCGAGGGGAAGGGAGGGAAGAGAAGAGAAGAAAAGAGAAGGGAAGGAA